TTTCAGAGATGCTACAAAATTTTTTTAAAGGTAGAATAGCCCCAGGTTTACTTAACAGCTTCTGGCCCCAAGGATTGTGCCATACCGTATTTGGCCACAAAATACGCATTGCTTTCCAGACCAATAATAAAAGTGCAGGTTGCTGCAAAATCCTCTCCAATATCCTGAAGATATTACTACTTAGCACTTGGGAAATCGAATGGCTTATGCATGGCCCAAATGCATTTATCCAGTTAGAAAATTTAGAAACTGAAAGCTGCATCTGGGTTTAACTGATATAGTCCCCCTGCTTTCAGGGTAACGGTCTCAGCACCCGTGGAAGATGGAGTAGCCTTGGATAAACCCTTTGCTTTCTGATACACACAACAACAGGGGTGAATCTCAAATGTGTCATGCTATGTGAAAGAAGCCAGACTTTAAAGACTACATGCCCTATGACATCATTTATATGACATTCCATAAAAGGTGGATCTGTAGGGACAGGAAACAGATCAGAGGTTGCCAGGAACTAAAGGTGGGGATAGGGTACTGATAACAAAGGAGCTCAATGGGGAACCTTTTGGGGTGACAGAAATATTCTGTATCGTGATTATGCTGATGGTTACTGAACCAAACGTGTATCAAAATTCAAAAAACGGTACACCTAAAAAGGATGGGTTTTACTGCATGTAAATAACACCTCAATAAACCTAACTTTAAAAAGAGTATTCCTGGAGATACTGTGTGCATGGGGAAAAAAGGGGAGATTTTTACACTTTTTTTTTTTTTTTTTTTGGCTAGAGAATTTCACATTTAAATAAATGGCAGCAGTTTACACAGGGAGGATAGGCTGTGTCAGTTTTCTTTTCCCACCTGCATTGCCACCCACGACCTGAGTTCCTTCAGGCACAATGATCTTCCCATTCAGGATAGGGCCAGGATTTGGGGGAAGGGAGGGGAGGCCATGGGGTGAAGTAGCAGGCCAGCTCTGTGGGCATCAGATGGGGCTGGGTCAGGCCAAGTGGTTTCTCCCTGAAGCTGCTCAGTCACTCCCCCAGTTAATTATCTGTCTGCTGATTCATGGGTTGTGGTTCCTGTGGGCAAGCTTCCTGGCTATTTCTGCCAACAGAGGCAGAAGGATTCATAGGGCTGGGAGGGGATGATAACCAGAGATCCTGAATGGGGTGAGGAGGAATTTCTATTAGGAAATTCCAGAGTCATACCCAGTCTCCCCCTCCTCACTGTTGCCTCCTTGCCCCATCTGATGCCGTCCCCAGGAGACCTCTACCACTTGCAGTTTTTTTGTTTTGTTTTGTTTTAAAGATTTTATTTATTTATTTGACAGAGAGAGACACAGCGAGAGAGGGAACACAAGCAGGGGGAGTGGGAGAGGGAGAAGCAGGCTTCCCGCAGAGCAGGGAGCCCGATGCAGGGCTCGATGCGGGGCTCGATGCGGGGCTCAATGCGGGGCTCGATGCGGGGCTCGATGCGGGGCTCGATCCCAGGACCCTGGGATCATGACCTGAGCCGAAGGCAGACGCTTAACGACTGAGCCACCCAGGCGCCCCCTCCCACTTGCAGTTTTGAGGTGGGTAAAGGAGGATGCTTCCCTCCTATGTGTCTCCTCCCAGGAGAGGGAGAAAAAGGCAGAGAATTCACAGAGGGTCCCCTGAAAACAGAGGTCTAAGGCACCACAGTGGAGAGATCCAAATGTGCAAAGAATTCATGATCTCAGCTATATTCTAAAATTCTCCAGAATGCCCAGATGGAGCACTTGAGGATCCTCTGTGAATGAATGCAGATATTCAAATATTGGGTTTCTTACGATGAGGCATATCACCTCTAGATGCCTTCTCATAGCGTTCCCTAGGATTTATTTTGGCTGTCAAATGTCTCAGGCACCAGGCCTAGAGCACTGAACAAAATAGACATGTCCTTCTCCTCACAGAACCTGAAATCTTGTGAATGTCTTTTACTTTCCTCTTTCCCCAGAGGCAGAACTTAAGGTTTTCTAGTCGATAAAGCACATGTATGCACCTCTTCCTCCTTGGTCTCTTCTGTGTGGGTTCTTGCTGGGTGAGAGGGGCTAAGATATGCCAAACCACCAGTGGGGGACTATCACGTAGGTGTGGGAGAAGGGGTCCCATCGGTCTCATTCTGCGAGCCCAGGTTGCAGTCATGTGTGAAGCAGTAATAGCTCTTGTCTCCAATACACAGTAGATACCATGGATAAGAATAATGGGAATAATACATGCCACTTATTGGATGCTTATTTTCTAATTAGCACAGTCATCAAAGTATTGTTTTCTCCACTTTATGGATGAGGAAACTGAGGTCCCAAGGGATTAAGTAACTTGCTTAAGGTCACACTGCCAATAAGAGGCAAAATCAAGAATTAAACCCACATCTGGCTGGCTTTAAACCATAACTGTCCCTTTCCCCAACCAACAAGCCTTCCTGCCATGTCTCTCCAGGCAGAGGGCTTCATTTGGAGAGTTTTTAGGATATAAACTCAGGAGGAGAAATTAGCACTTCAGCTCAGAAGTAATCAACTTAGATGGTGACAGCAAACAAAACTTGTTATCCCTTAGGTCTCAGGTTAGAATACAGACTTATATAGGTGAAAGCCACAAAACCCAATACCTCCTGGGTGAAGCTAAAAAGATCGTCTTTGGACATAAATTCCAAAACTCAATTCTACTCTCAAACAGCCTCTCTTCTCCCCATCCCAGACTCTCCTATTCTGGGACAACCTCTCTGTGCCACCACCCAGCTCTCTCTGCGTCCCTTCAACACTGTGGTACCAACACCCCTCTTCTATTCTCATCCTACCACCTGCTTCCCCAGGAATCTGACAACACCTGCAATCCAGGTACCAATCCTGGGGGAGGGGATTCAAATATAAACTGTTCTTACTGGGGGCTTCTTACTCTGGAGATCTAACTCTAGAGCCCATGCTCTGAAACACTACTCCAACCTGCTTCTCAGAAGGAGCCTGGGGCTAGCTCAGTACAACCCATTACTACAGCTGGAATCATCCCAATCATAACGATGAATCTGTGAACAGATCTCCCAAAGAATATGGCAAACTAAAGTATGTTGATGCAGTGGAGTCCTATATGGATCATTACAACTCTGTATCAGATCAACAAAAGATACTAGGAGCGAGGGGTGGAGGGACAGACACCAAAATAACGTACACTCTTCATCTTCACTAATATTGAAACATGTGCCATGCTAGGCTCTATCTCATGTTATTTTACTTTCTTCTAAGACTACAAGAAAATACAATGTCTAGTTAGACTCAGAAATCATTCAAAATTCAGAAAGCTGTAGAGGTGAAAAGAAAAGCAACAAATGTTTTAAGTTCATGGGAGCAGGCATCTGGAGGAGACAGCTCCACGGCCCCCATTAACATCAGGCAGCATTTGAACTGTGTCTCTAACACCTCCTAGGGCACAAGGCTGGAGATCTGTATTTCGGTACCATGGTCATCAGGCTGCTCACTGTAGGCTGAAGACATCAGCTGACCTGTTTGAGCATCTATCACATGGGAAGCTTCAGCAAAAACAACTTAGCCCACTATATATTATCTGTAACTCCTCCACCAAGACATCATTCAGAGATTGTGGTGATGGTTTCATGGGTGTATATGTGTCTCCAAACTCATCAAGTCATCTACACTGAATATATACGGTTATTTGTATGTCAATCATACCTCATTAAAGTGTTTTTTTTTAAGATTTTATTTATTTATTTGAGAGAGAGAGAATGAGAGACAGAGAGCACGAGAGGAAAGAGGGCCAGAGGGAGAAGCAGACTCCCTGCTGAGCAGGGGGCCCGATGTGGGACTCGATCCCGGGGACTCCAGGATCATGACCTGAGCCAAAGGCAGCCGCTTAACAAACTGAGCCACCCAGGCGCCCCTCATTAAAGTGTTTTTAAAAGATACTGTTGCCTTGTCCTGTATAATCTCTTACACACACAAGATCTTGAAGGCAGTCATCAAAGTATTTCTGAATAGCTATCTTTGTAAGGACTTAGTAAATCTTAACTTTCTTAATGCCTTCTGCGGGATTTAAATTGTCTTACAATGAGTACTACACTTTTCATTAAAAGTGCATATATGCACACTTGTGCGTCCCCGGCAGAGGAACGGAAGCCAGAGTTCTGTCTGGGAAGGTCACCAGGGCTCCGGAAGGACCACGGGCAGCATCCCTGCGCTGTAGTCTCCTCCGCCCCTCCACCCGCTCCCCAGCACCAAGGAGGCTGAACGCCAACTGTCTTGGCATAGGGCGTGCAGCAGCAGGAGAGACAAAGCCAGGGATCCAAGCCAGTTCCAGGGACCCTTCTTGTGGCTCCTCGCATACACTGGAGGTTTCTCGGATGCGGGGTCTGTCCCGGAAGCAGAGGCACGGCTGCCACCCGGGGACACTGTAGGAGACAGAGCCCTCGCCCTGCTCCTAACCGCTCCCGCGGGAAGCCACCAAGGAAAAAAACTTAAAGAAAAGAACTTGGGAGAAAGTGTAACACAAAGAGAATGTCGAGAAGCTGGCACACCCGCGCGCGCACACACTCTCGTCCGAACAGCTACAACCACAGCCCTCCGGGGGACCAGCGCGGGGGACCAGCCCCGGGAAGCCGCAGCTCGCCCTGCCCACCGCGGCCAGCCGGCCTCCGCAAGCCCCAGACCACCTGCGAGGCGCGCCGCCCGGGAGATGCGCCCGCCACACCGCGCGCGCCCAGGCCGCCCCGGGCGGGCGCCTGACTCGGCCAAGGGCTTCGGCGTCCCGGAGCACCCGCCCCGAGGCGGCCTCTCACGCCTGTCATCCCGGGGCCGGAAAGGTTCCCGGCTGCCGGCTCCGGCGGCCCCAGCCTGGCCCCGCGCACTCGGAGCGCAGACGCGCGGGGCCGGCCCGCCGCTTGCCCGGCTCCAAGTCCGCCAACTCGGGCTGTGGCAGGATGCGCGGCGCGGATCTCCGGGGGGAGCCGCGTCCCCGCCGCGCGGGAGCCTCACTCACCTCCGCCGCCGCCGCCCGCCAGCGCCCCCAGCACCAGCACCGCGGCCCACAGCGGCCGCGCCCGCATCTCGTCCGCTGCCGCCGCAGCGCCCGCCCGCCCGACAGTGAGCGGCGGCGCCCGCGGCCACTTTTCCCGCAGCGGGAGCGGGGGAGGGGACGCGGTGGGTGGGACGTAACGGGGCGGGCCGCGGACTCGCGCTTCCTCCCCTCGCGCGCTTCTCCGGACCCTGCGCTGGGGAAGGGGTGGTGGGAAACCGCGGCCGCTCTTTCCCCGCCTCGCCTCCGCCCGCCGGGATCCGCCTGGACCCGCAGACCGGGCGAGACTGGGACCGGAGCGGGGTCGTGGGCGCGCCCAGACACTTGGTATGCTTAGAAAAACCGGGAGCCCGGGGCCCCTCTCCTGACCCCGTCCCACCTTCTGAAGACGCCCATATGGCTTTCTCTTTCGCCTGAACGAATGGGCACTTCCCTCTGTACCTTGAGTTTGCTTCAGGCACACTTTGATTTGTTTATTTGACAAACCGTTTGAAGGCTTACTCTGGTGCCGAGCACCGGTTTAGTCCTTTATTATTCATCGAGTTTTTCTTTGGGTTAGTTTGGTTTTCCGGAAAGCCTCTTGAGACATCTCAAGCTTGTGTGTAAGCAAGGATGTCCATAAAGGGCCTCTCTCTGCGGATGCTTGCTTGCACATAGTGACTGATAAACGTTTCAGGACACGGTCAATAGACCGCCTCCAAACGCAAAGTCACAGGCTTCGCAGCTTTATCGTATTTTCCTCAAAGGTCTCCTTCCCACTCTCTGCCAATCCTTCCTCTGGGTCTCTGGGTCTTCTCCAGACCAGAAACCTCAGGCGGCTCAAAGAGGCAAAATGCTAGAGCTGGGAGCAGGAGACCGCCAGTGGTTGGGGTTGGTACCCCCCACGCGATGCGTAGCTCGACTGACCGTAAAACCAAGACCCGACCCATCAAAGAGCATGGAAGTCTCTCCAGCTCCTGGGCTTCCCCGAGCCTTCTCTGGAGACATCCAAGATGCCTGAAAACTGGCCCCGACTCAGCTTTCCAGCCTCGTCTCCCACCCTAGCGCAGGAAGATACTTCGCATTCCCAAATGCTCCTGTCTGGCTTTCTGTCTGACTGATCTTTCTAAATTTTCCACCTGGAAAATTGCACCTATCTTTCCAAACATCCCAGTTGTAATCTCTTCCATGGAGGCTTGTCTGACTGCCCCTTCCTCCAGCCCCGCCCTCTGCAGAGGTGGGCACTTCCTCCTCAGACCTCCTAAACACTAGATGCTCCAAAGGAGCAGCACCCATTAGCAGAAGTGTCCCTAGCAGGTTGCAAGGGAACAGAGGAGGAGCCAGCCCACAAAGGGTAGCTAGGCTTCCTGACCCGGGCTTTAAGACTCCCTAGCTGGTGAAGGGCCCCTGGGTCAGAAGCCATGTCCACAGTCTTGTACTTGCCCTGGCAAAAAATCCAGATCACACAGCATGGTCACATCTCTGCCTATATATTCACATATTTGCTCAATTCCCACAATTATAACCAATCTCCTAGTTCCCTAGGTGTCTCCTCAGCCTAGCTCTGCTGGCACCAACACTGGTTCAACAAACCCACTATCCACGTTCCCAGCCCCTTCTGCCTGAAGAACTTCCATTAGCAAGCCTGGCAGTGAAGGTCCCCTAGCAACAAATATGCTCAACTCTCATTTGTTTCCCCCTCATTTATAATATTTCTAAGATATAGGACACCTGGGTGGCTCAGTTGGTTAAGCGACTGCCTTCGGCTCAGGTCATGATCCTGGAGTCCCGGGATCGAGTCCCACATCGGGCTCCCCCTCTGGACCCTCTTCCCTCTCGCACTCTCTGTCTCTCATTCTCTCTCTCTCTCTAATAAATAAATAAAATCTTTAAAAATATATATATTTCTAAGATATAGATTTCTATGTTGACAGCCATGGGGGGGCGGGGGATGGTGGATCTTCTTGGACTTTAAAGATGTTGTTCTACTGTTTTCTGGCCTCCACTGTTTCTGATGAGAAGTCAGCCATTATTTACATTCTTGTTCCCTTGTCTTTTCCCTCTGGTTTTCTTGTTTGTTTGTTTGTTTGTTTGTTTTAAAACCATTTACACTGGGGCGCCTGGGTGGCTTAGTCGTTAAGCGTCTGCCTTCGGTTCAGGTCATGATCCCAGAATCCTGGGATCGAGCCCCGCATCGGGCTCCCTGCTCAGCAGGAAGCCTGCTTCTCCCTCTCCCACTCCCCCTGCTTGTGTTCCCTCTCTCGCTGTGTCTCTCTGTCAAATAAATAAAATCTTTAAAAAATAAATAAATAAATAAAAATAAAACCATTTACACTTATAGAGAAGTTGCAAAATACTAAAGACTTTTATCTTTCACCCAGTTTCCCCTATTGTTAAGATCTTATATTACCAAGTCATAATTATCAGACACAGGAAATTAACATCGATACAATACTATTAACTAATCCAGATACAATATTTGGATTTTGTCAATCTTCCTGTTAGTGTCCTTTTACCAGTCCAGGATCTAATCAAGGATTCCGTATGGCCCTTTTTTTTTTTTTGGCAAGTGATTATTTTTTATTTCAAGTTTTTATTTAAATTCTAGTTAGGTTTTTTTGTTTGACTTTTATTTCAATTTTTTATTTAAATTCTAGTTAGTTAGCATATATGGTAAAATTGGTTTCAGGTGTAGAATTTAGTGGCTCATCAGAGGATCCCATACTGTGTTGTGATCATGTCTCCTTAATCTCCTTCAATCTGTGACACTTTCTCAGTCTATTTCTATCCTCACCTTGACACTTTTGTGTCAATTTTTAGGCCAGTTATTTTGTAGTATGTCCCCCAGTTTGGGTTTGCCTGAGGTTTTCTCATTTCTTGTACTGAGGCATTCTAGACTGAATACCACAATAATGGTGCGCTTCTGGGCAGTACATGGTGACAATATGTCTTATTACTTACCATGTTAACTTTGGTCACGTGGTTAAGGTGGTGTCTGCCAGACTTCTTCACCATCAAGTTACTATTTTTCTCTTTGTAATTAATAAATACTTTATGGAAGACACTTCAATTCTATACAAATATCCTGTTTTTCTTCATACTTTCACTAATGTTAACATCTATTAATGGTTCTTGATTGTGATCAGTTACATGGTTAATAGTGATTCCTACCTTCCTTTTTTTCTTCTGCCACTACTAATTGGTGTTCCACAATGAGAAAGAGCTGCGCCTTCCCTCTCATTTTAAAATTTCGATAATTTATTTCTATCAGTATGAATTCATAGATACTTACATTATTCCACGAGTTATAATGTAATGCTGCCATTTTTCTGTTGCTCAAACTGTCTCAGGTTTGTCTCTACCTGCTTTTGAGTTTTCTCTTTATCTTTGTTTGTTTGTTTGTTTTTTTACCAACTTGACTGTAAGGTGAAGAGGCGTTGTTCTCTTGGTATTTTACTCTCCTTGGGGTTGATGAGTGTCTTGAATATAGAAGTGACCTATTTTTCACCAAGTATAGGAACTTTCAAGCCATTATTCCTTCCAATATTTTTTCTGCCCATTCTCTCTCTCCTTACCTCCTGAAACTCCAATTACACATATTTTAGATATTATCTAAATACTTATAATAATTATATAAGTTATAAGTATTATATAAGTATATATCATATATATAGTGTATTATATAAGCTATTATAAGTATTTAGACGTTATCCCACAGACTACTGAGGCACTATTTTTTTAAAGATTTTATTTATTTATTTGAGAGAGAGAGAGCACGAGTCAGGGGAGGGCCAGAGGGAGAGGGAGAAGCAGACTCCCTGCCAATCTCGGAGCCTGTCTCAGGGCTCATTCCCAGGAGCCCAAGATCATGACCTGAGCACAAGTCAGACTCTTAACCGACTGAGCCACCCAGGCGCCCCATTTTTTAATCCTTTTTTTGTTTTTGTTTTTCAGATTAGTCTATTGATCTCTCTTTAAGTCTCAAATGAATAATCTACAATTCTTTATTTTGCAGTCCCTACTATGCTGCTAAGCCTATCCAGGGAATTTTTCAGATTTTTTTTTAAGTTCTAGAATTTCCCTTCACTTCTCTTTTATAGTTTCAGTTTCTCTGCTAAGATTCCCCATATCTTCAATTACTATGTGTATATTTTCCTTTAGGTCCTCAAGCATATTTACAACCATGGTTTTAAAATGCCTGTCTGCTCGTTCTGACCTATCTCAGGGACTGTTTATCTTGATTGCTCTTTTTAAAACCCTGGGTCCCAATTTCCTGCTTCTTCACATGTATAGTAATATTAGACTGCATACTACACATTGTAGACTATTCATTTTAGAGTTTATGTTGCTTCCCTCGGAGAGTGTTGAGTGTTGTTCTATTAGGCACTTAAATTACTGGCAGATGATCTCGACCTAGCCCATCTTGGTTTTATTCCTTTTCAGGACTAGTATGTAGAACATGGTCCTTTAAAAAAAAAAAAAAAAAAGATTTTATTTATTTATTTATTTGGGGGGGCAGAGGGAAGGGTAGAGGGAGAGGGAGAAACAGGCTCCCCATTGAACAGGGAGCCTAACACGGGGCTCGATCCCAGGACCCTGGGATCATGACCTGAACCCAAGGCAGACGCTTAACCAACTGAGCCACCCAGGCACCCCTAGAACGTGGTGCCTACTCCTAAGGTGTGTGGACTTCCTGGATCATCTAAGTAGACAACTTGTTCAGTGAAGTCTCTGCACTTCGACTAAGTTGAAACTCCAACATCTCTAAGCCACGTGCAACTTCTAGTGTTTTCTGTTTGGCTCCCAGCTGCTCTCTGCTGAGGCTTATGGAGTCTCACCATGTGCCTGTGCAGCTTGTCCCTCACCCAAAGACCCTGGGGAGCCCCCATGCAGACTGCTGGGGGCACCTCTCTGGTCAGTTCCTTCCACTCTAACAGCCTTCCCCACAAATTACAGGGCCTTTGGCAGCCTTCAACTTGAAGCTGTGCTCTTGAGCTCCATGAGATCAACAAACACTTCCTAGACTCCACTTCCTTGCAATGCAATCCAGAA